TTCATCTTATTTCTTTAGGGGTCTTATCAATATGTCGAGATATGGCTGTAAAAATAGCAGCACCCACTCCTTACCACCAGGCGTTACTTTAAATTGTTAATAACTTCTAAATAACTGGTCCAAAAGTTGTTATCGATTAGTAATTTTTTTAGTAAGAACATTATTTATATAATATCTAATAAATATATTCGATAGTTAATGGTATATTATTTTTAAACAATTATTAGAAACTTATGTTAAAGTTTAGTTTACATTTTTTTAATTTTATAACAGGAAAATGTATTTTATGTAATTAAAATATTTTATTTATTTTTGTTTTCCTTAATATAGTAGTTAAGAATAATTTAATTAATTTTTTTAGATTGATTAATAACGTATGTTATGACTTCAAGGTTTTATAGATAAATTAATTTCTTAGTAAACCTTTAGATATTTTTGTGAATAATGATTTTGATTTTCGTATTTTGTTACAATCAGGTCCAGACCCGAAGTTTATTTGAATTAATGTTGCTGTTTGGTTCAGTATGGTCTAAATTTTTATTGTATTTGGTTAAATTTTGTCTGGACAATCTTTAATTAAATATTCCGGTTCGGATCAGTCCATTTTAAATTTTTATCCGGTCGAGTCCAATTTTAATTTCATATTAAGTTGACACCTCTATACATTATATGGTGTGATCCTAAAAAGTAATTATTAGCTGATAAATAAAGAAATATGTGTAACTTAAAGAATACAAAAATATTTCCAATACTGTACATAAATAAGAATAAATATATTACCAGAATGGAACAGATCTGATTGACAACTCATATAATATAAGATCTACATAACATTTTATAAATTTTTTTAGCTTCGATACGAAGATGAGAAGGTATTAATTTTAATCTAGTCGAAGACATTACCCTTAACAATTGAAAAAATTTCCCTCGTTCCCCGTAAATTACAAATTTAAAAATCGCTAATTTTTGAAATTTTTTTACTTAAAACTGCCATACCTTTTTCAAAAATGAACAAATCAATATAATTTTTTTTTATAGATACTTGATGTCTTTACTTATTATTTGGTATATTTTTTTTATAAATTTAACCCTTTACCAGCCCTCATGGGGGATTCAAAATGACAACTTTTTCACTAAAAATTAACTTTTTCAACTTAATTTTTGAAAGTGTTCGGAAATACTGACACTTTTATATATGTCTTAATTAAAGCTAATGTAATTTACTTTATTATGCAAAAAAAAAAAATTCGGACTTTATTTAAAATGGCTACCGAATGCTATTATTGTGAGAAACTTCTCGATTTTATATTTTTATATAATTTATATAACATTTATAACTTTAAAATGTTATACATTTTTGAAAAATGTATGGATCAATACAATTTTTTTATATGAAATAATATTTATATACTTCTTTCATTCGACATACTTTTTTTTTTAATCGGACCATTTCCCTTAATATAGGGGGGGTTCAAATCATTAAGATGCATAAAGAAAGTAAAACTTTTTCAACTTAAATCATAATTTATTTTATAATTGGATTTTAAATTTTTTATTTTTAGAATTATCTTAACTCGCGTTATGACCGATATTTCTTTAGCAAAAAGATCTCTTTTAAACAATCCATCAAAAAGGCCTATAATTAAAAGCAAACCCGGTTCAAATTCTCGGTCCAATGTAATGGCCGACGTACAACAAGAAATTGAAAGAATATTTGAACTTGCTAATAAATAACAATTCATGTTATTTCTATAACATTTTGAAAAATGTACAGATCAATACAATTTTTTTATGTTTATTTTTAGCTTCGATGCGAAGCTGAGAAGGTATTATTTTTACTAAGATGTGTTTTTTTTTTTTTCTATGCCTGTTGCCACTTTTTCTCAGCTCTCACTGGACCGATTTCTTTCAATGATACGTCAAAAGATCACAAATCGTATCTAGTCGAAGACACTACCCTTAAAAATTGAAATTTAAAAATCGGTAAATTTTGTCATTTTTTTTTCTTAAAACTTTCAAAAATCAACAAATCAACATAATTTTATTTTATACTAAAACCTTAGATATTTCCCTTTCATTTGATATCATTTTTTGAAAATCTAACACTTAACCTGCTCATTGGGAGGGATTTAAAATAGCAACTTTTTTACAAAAACTTACTTTTTTAACTTAACTTTTGAAAATGTTCCGGAAGGTCTGACATTTATATATATATCTTAAATTAAAGCTAATGTAATATACTTTATTATGGGAAAAAAAAAATTCGGACTTTATTTTGTCTTCACGGTGAAAATAGCTACCAAATGCTATTTTTGTGTGAAAATATTCGATTTTATTTTTTACATTTTACATCAATACAATTTTTATGAGAAATAATATTTATATCCCTCTTTTATTTAACATACTTTTCTTAATCAGGATATAATTAAAGAAATAAGAGTTTATGAAGCTTTTGGAATAATCCACCAATTTTTTAAAATTAAACACTATCTAAAGATTTGCATCGAAGCGTTTTTTTTTTTATAGTGATTTTAATCACTGTCAGATATCATTATACTGGGTTTTTTTTTTTAATCGATCCAATTCCCTTTAAACAGAGGGGGTTCAAAACATAAAAATGCATATAGAAAGTAGAAATTCTTCAACTCAATTTTTAAAGTGTTCCGGAAATATTGACACTTTTATATATATTTTAAATTAAAGCTTATGTAATAAAATTTAATATTAAAAAAAATATGCTATTTTTGTGTTAAAATTCTTGGTTTTGTATTTTATTTTATTATTAAGGGATTACACTGATTTTCATAAATATTATATCAATCTAATTTACATAGTATAAAAAATTAAACATATTTAAAATTTTGTTTCTTTGAAGTCGAGAAAAAATAGCTTTAAAACTTGAACTAGCTGAATTTCCATTTTTATTAAATGACGAATGCGTCGTAAGGTTTCTGAGATGGTAACACTTGGGTCTTTCACGCCTGTGACACTAAATTTTTTCTTAATTCTTTTTGAGTTAGAAAAAAATGTTTAACTCATTTGATTTTTATTTCATTTAGATTCAATAAATATCATGGATACCATTACTGTAGTCTCCTCTCGTGAGAAGAAATTCATATTAATATTATTTACTATGTGGTTTTTTTTTGTAGCTATAATTTCTTTTTTCAGCTCTCACTTGACCTACTTTTTTGACAAATTTTTTTTTTTTTAATTAAAAACTATCTACAGATTTGCATCGAAGTGTTTTTTATGATAGTGATTTTAATCACTGTCAGATATCATCTATACTGGACCCAACTATGCCACGACCCTACTGTGCTGTGTTTTTTATTAGTGAATTGTTCTAGTATGAATTTAAATGGGAAATAATTTAAAGGATTCTTAAAAAAATATGATTTAATAGGTGTGAATAATTGTATTCTGTTTTCGTCAGATTTTGTAGTTGAGTTATACTCTGAGAGGATTTTTGGTTTTTGCTTGACCTGGGTTAGTAGAGGATTGTGCAATATTGTTTTTAGTTCATTATTTTTATGTTGATGTGTCAGAATGTTTTGTTCTTGTATGTCGTCTATAATTAATTACTCGCTTTATAGTGGTGATTCATTACTAATGTTAATTAAAATGAAGGATAATTTTTCTTGTATGAGTGCTTGTTCTAATTCAATATTGCATCTTTTTTTTGCGTAATAGTCAGCATTATCATTTTTATTTATTTTATTAGCTTGTTGAATGTCGTTGGTTTCTAATTGTTAGATCATATTTTTTGTTATATATGCGAAATAAAATTAAAAAATTTTATATTCTTAAATATCTTTATCACGATTACATTTAATAATTTTAAGATCCAAATTGTAAAAAATAAGAATACCACTACACTATATCTCTATATTTTATCAAAATAATATTATAACATAAAATATTAATAATACGATTATAGCTGATCAGCTAAACTTAATGTAGTGATTACCACATGAGGCATCAGGTAGTTAGTAATTCTGATGAATTATTGTTGTAATCTGAATCCGTCGAGTCTCGATATATATTAAAATATATATGGTGACATGGCCCTTTAAAGTGTACCAGCAATCATATAGGAAAAATAACAAATCCAGTACGAGAATTGATACTACAAACTATTAGTTCAAATATAGATATTGAGTAACTAGACCATTGCATATTTGAGATTGTGATCACGATATAAAAAGATAATCAAATTATTAAATTATTGAAAGATTTATCAATTTTAATTTTTGTACAAATTACAAAATTCCAAAATATCAACATTGACTATCTTATAACAACTGTATTTTTTTGGAATATTTCTTTCTATTACCAGGACTAAAAGGAATTTTTTAAATTGATGAAAATGATAAAATGTTAGCTTAGTTACGTTTTGCGATCTTTTGATGTATCGGTGAACAAATTCGATCTAGTAAAAGCGGAAGTATATACGGACAAAAAAAAAAACTCCATGTGAGGTGATGTATATTTAACGTGTAATTAGCGTTCTAACTTGTCCAGAGTGTAATTTTTCTCCTTTAATCGGAAGGAATAATTAGAAGTTATAAACTATAGTATTTGAAACATTTTTAATCTTTGTGTATTGACTATTGATATGAACGCTTTACTGACATCGCTGATAATATTTCAACCTCCACAAATTTGTCTGCATACTACAAAATTAAACTGAAAGTCTTGTGTTTATATACAAGTACATACGTCACACCCTATCTTTGCTAAATTCCGTTGAGTTGGTTGGCCAATAGAATTCGGTTTACCGGCAACAGCTTTAAATTATATCCCCCTTAGTCCCCAGACAACCTATACTAACTCTCTTACTCTTATGTACTGATATAACTTGCTACTGTTTCTCTCGCTCACATATCCCTGTCGGTTAAAATGGAAAGTTTATGTGGCGAATAAAATGCACTGCAGAGGGCGTTTTGCTCAGCAATGCGCGTTGTTACCGATAGTAGCGTACTCGTGGGTTATCCTTGGCGCCACCAGTTAACATACAATACTCCTGGTCTCCAGTCACGGTGCCGTCTATTTCTGTTTTATTGATTTAATATAGTTTCATTAATACATTTTTCAACGGGTACATTCTCTGTCTCTGTCACACTTTTCTGTCTAGTCTAGTCGCTATCTTACGCATACTCTCTTGAGTATACACTTAATCATAAAACACAATATCATATAACTAATTAGTTGTAAGAATCTGATGTGTCAACCGTCACAATAAATTTATTTCTCAAACTTTTTTTTGAAAATATATTTTTTAATGTTAACTCTATTTGTAGTGAATTTTAATAATTTTCATGTTTTTAAAAAAACACATCACAAGTTTTAAGTTCACCTATACATTTCCGAACTGCCGCAACGCGTTTAAAATTGTTTTATTAGCTTAATCTTTACAATTGAGTAGAAAAAATTACTGTGTTAAATTGTGATACTTGGTATTTCTATCTATTCTGTTTGTGTGCGTGTATAAAATTGTGTCCCATCCGTCAACATATTCACCGTATGACCGTATTGCACACCCGTAATTAAATTTTATTATATTATTTTATTATATCTAGTTTAGTTCCTTTTCTATTATTTACTTTGTTTTTAATATTGAATTACAAATTTTAATATTCTATTAAAACGTTTTAGAAGCGGCATCAACTAAAAAGATCCCCGATTGTAGTGAGGTGAGTCACAATCGATTAGTTATTACATTGTATTTTAAAGTATACGATAATCGTAAAGAAAGTAATATTAGTTAAATTATAATTTATAAACTTATCTTCTATATGATAAGTCATGATTGTCCAATTATTGAAAAAATCATGTATTTTATTAGTAAATCTTTTGGAATCTAATTTACCCAAATTTTTAGGAAAAAGTTACTAGAGGTTAATTATTTTTTAGTAATGAAATCCTACTAGAATCCTACAGCTACCCTTACCATTAAAGCTGTTTTTGATTAAAAAAAATTTAAAAAAACAAACTCTTTTGCTTTTAGTACTGTATTTATGTTACATATAATATTATTTTGATATTACAATAAATGATTTTATTGATATTCAATTAATGTATTTTCTATCTTCATTTCGTATACTTTATAAGGGAGTCAACTTTATTTAAAATGACAACATACATAATTTATTTATTTAATAGATAATGATCCGAGTGACTGGTCAACTACAACTTTAGCACCAGTATTCAGAAGTTATTGACATTTTTATACAAAGGTGAGAAAAAGAGTACGGCCGGTAAATGACAAGTGATAAAAATAACATCACTCGTGCTTCACCTCTTACCATCTCTATAAAATGTTAATAAATTCCGAAATACTGATCCAATAGTTTTTTATGTAATTATATTATTATATACTAAATAAACTAGTTAATTAAGTATGTTGCTATTAGAAAAAATAAAGTAGACATCCCTCTAAGTTATAAAGGATGGTACTAAAAAGTAATTATTAGTTGATAAATCAAGAAATATATGCAACTAATATAAATCAAACATTTTTTATTTTTTTACGAATAAACGAGTGGTTTATGATAAATCGATCATTTTGTATATCTAAAATTAAAGCTTATGTAATATACATTAATTTGAAGAAAAATTTGACCTGTGGATTTATCTTCATAGTAAAAATGGCTACCTTATTAAAAAATATGATATTTTTGTGTTAAAATTCTCGATTTTATATTTTATATATTTAACTTTAGATTGTTATTGATAAATTAAAAAAAAAATGTTTCTTTGTAGTCCAATCAATGAGACAGCAAATTAATTTTCAAAAAAATGCATTTTAATTATTTTTTTTTTATATAATGTTCATCTTAAATTTATAACTTTTTTTAAATTAAAGCAAATTTTAGCGTTAAAAATTAAATTATAGTTTTAAAAATGTTACCATTCTTTTAAAGAAAGTCTATCAATTTTAAATAGTAATTTTTTACTGTCATTTATCGATATTTTTACACAAGATAGACTTTTACCATAAAATACAATTTTTGCTTACAAATTTGTATATACATCAAGCAATGGTATTGTTTCCCTAAATAACAACTTAGGTAATTTTTATTGGGTATTTGTTTAAGTTATGTCTAGTCAATACTTTGAGCTGTACCAGTACTTACTATCAATAAATAAAAATCTAAAAAAATTAGGTATATACATTTAAATTGATTAGAAAAAGATGTCTTACTTGTCTTATTAATATATTTAATATCTAATTATTATAAATCAGTACTATTAAAATAATTTTATGTCTATTAAGAATATGATGTAATGTTATAAGTATAAAAAATGATTTAATTATCTATTAATATAACTTAATTTTTGAAATTATGTGTCGATCTCAAATTTTTGCTTCTTTCTAGTATAATCTAAAATGACAGCTCCACCTGACAATTATTGTTGTATGTTAAAATACTTGATAACTACATTAATAAATATACAAATATTGGCGTATGGATGGAGAGACTCTGAGAATCACGCTCCCCCTAATATTTTAATATGAATAGTTCTTTTAGAAATATTTTGAGAAAAAAAAATAGTTTTCATAAATATTATAAATAAATAAAAATTCCTTTCACCTCTTAAAAAAATGTCTAATTACGCACTTGATAAAAAAGTAAAATAGTCAATTTATTTAAGCTACATTAATTTTAACAAAAAAATAATTTTGATGTTCTTTGGTAGTTCTATAAGTTTTACCATAATGAATAAAATTATATCAATGTTTTTTTATAGTTGAAAAATATTGATTATTTTAATTTAGATAAGTATTAAAATTATAATTAACAAAGCAATTTGAAATAAATAGAGTTAATGTTAATAAGTCGCCTCCTATTTTAAAATAATTATACTAAATATCATATAGCACTTACTTATTCTTATTTGGATTCTTTTATTTGAGAGAAAGGAAAAAATAAATAGCAGTATTTAAGATTTTAACTAATGTTAATTAGCTGGTTAACTATTATATTAATCAAAAGTTAGCATTTGTATATTAATTCAGATATCTACTTGACTATTATTGCGCTTTTAATAATAAAAAAAGCTCTATTTATAAAGCGTTCAAAAAGTAACGAAAAGGGCTTTCATTACACTTATTGTACATAACAATTGACCTAATTCTTTTACTTATTGAATAGTCTGTAAAATTTAATTGTGTATTCTGTTAATTTATCCGGCGTCCCCTCCACGCTTTTAAATAGTAGTTGCTATCATACATATTTTTCGATGATATTGGGATTTCCTTTTAGCATTATTATTGTTTGTTTGAGTAACTATTGTTCTTAATTATTTATTTTAAAATACCTTATTTATATTTGATGATAACCGATAGTCAATATTCTTCTACTTAATAATGATTTTAAACTTTAATTAATTTATTGTTAATAGGCAAACGAGACAGTCATGCCTATTTATAGAAAACCAATATTTAAGTGTTTTCACCGTCAAAGTAACCGTAAATAATAAAAATATCAACTAAAATTTAAAATGTTTAAAAATCATTAAATGTTATATTTGTCATATTTTTATGTGGTAAATAATAAGAAGGAAATATTATTGATCCATTTACTAAGTTCGTCATATAAATGGTAAATTGTAAAATATTTTTAACTATTTTCTTTGAATAAAATATTTACCCTATTTATACAATTTATTAAAATTGCTTAAAACTATATTTTTACGTATATTTGATTTTATAATGGTTGTATTATTAGTGTTATCATTATTAACATGTTTTTTTACGTGTTAAAAAATAAAACCGTTAAGAGGTAAAAAAATTTTTAAACCTAATATAAAGAGTTCTAACATCCAAAACTTAACTTTTATGTACATCTCCGTAGACATAAATTTACTATCTATGTACGAAGAAAATATTGTTTTTTTTAATTTCAAATATTTATTGATAGAAACTATTTACAATCCTTTTTTTTCTTAGCTTTTAAACAATACTTTTATAAAAATACTTAGTTGAAGTAAATTTAAATACATTGATTTTAGCTATTGCTAAAAACTAAAACTTAAAAATAAAATTGAATTCAAATGACAACTAACATAAACTTTACGCATCGTTAAAACTTAAGTGTCCAATGCTACCAACTAGTAAGAGAACTTTTAGATATTTTATATTTAAAATTGGAAATTCTAAATTATTGCATTAGATCCTTCGAAATATTAAAATTAGATTATAATCATATTTGGTGAAATTTTTAATTCGATTTTAAATGCACTTCGTCTTGTTACACAGATATTCCGCTTAATATGCAAGCTTTTTCATCCATTTTAACACAAGTAGTAATAAGAGAAGACCTTAATGATAAATTTTAATAATCATAAGTTTTGCATTAGTACTAAAGTAAATTTTCTCAAAATAACGATGAATTAAAATTAAATAAACTTAATTTATTTAGTCTAATCTTAAGGTTCATAATTTAAAAATATTTTTTTTTTAATAATTGTTATAATATCATGTGATTTACTATTGTTTAGGGGTCTGAGAATTCAGACGTCATAACAAACACAGCGGACCTGTCTCTGGGCATTGAAAAAGAAGCGCTGCGGCGCGAAAATGAGCATAGAGCTCGTTCACAGTTGCTTAATAGCCGTGTAAGAAAATTATATATGCAATATTTTAATAAATAAGTATTTATATTATTACTTCTTATGTTCAATGTACAAAAATATTTTAATAGATAAATGAAAAAGATTTAAAAGTAGAGTAGTAGTACTGCTAAGTTATTAATTTATTTAATCCATTATTTCGATAGATTTAAATTCTACTAATAATATTTCATGAATTTATATTACAAATTCAGCTTTCAATTATATTATATTTGAAGATTTTAATTTAAAAACTTGTTATCTAAAAATTTAAAATTTAGTTTATTGAGGTGTTAAGCCTAATAATTTATAAAACTTATTATGTGTCTTTATTAATACTATTAGGTTTAAAAACATTTACTAGATAACGTTTTAGGTATTTATTCGACTTATTGTAACTTCCCACGATAATTATTTTAAATCTCCATTTATTAAGTTTGATTAATATGCATTAACTTATTTAATAATATGAGAAAGTTTTAAACAAAAACATAAAATTAGTATGTGAGCCATTAGCCTGGATGTAGATCTTCAAAATATGTGAGAACATCCTAAATTGAATTCTAAATTTTATATTTGAAACCACAATTATTATGGTTGTTGTATTAGAGAGTGGTTATTTCAACTTTGTGAAATATCTGTAATAAAAATTACAAAAAAAAACTTTTTTTTTATAAAACTATTGTTTTTGTTCTTAAATAGTTTTTTTATAATCAAAAAGTTGATGTTTAAACACGCATTTAACATACTTTAAAAATATCTTAAATTCATAAATATCCAAATTTTTGAGAAACATAGTATTAATACAAAATTGTGTAGTAAAAATAATATCCATACCATGTCTTTTATAAAAGGAAATTTATTTAAGATATTAAAATATCTATCAATTTTAGATAACTCATTAAAATACATTTTTTTTAATTTTATTATTTGACTTGAAGTTTTTAAGTTATATTATAATTAAATAATAATAAATAATACTTCCATAGTAAATTTATGGGAAAATGTTGTATAACTGGTGACATACAATCAAATGAAACAAAAACATATCAATAAAAATTTAACATGATACTTAAGTGATAAATGTAATAATCAGGGTTTTTATATGCATTTATAAATTTAATTCGAAGGATTCCAGGTTTGTGGAACTTTATCATAGTAACGCAGAAATATTTTTCATTTTTTTGAGGAATTAACCTTTCTAATCATCCATAAAACTATGATATCGGAAAACACAAATTACTAAGTTTTCAAGTCAATTAAAAAAAATTTTTATTCGAGCATGGTCCTTAAACAATGAGTAAACTATATTATATTATATATATATATATATGGGTGGCCCTCAAAAATCGAATGTCTTTTTTTTTTTACGCTACCCCTTAATTTTTTTTTAATGGTCAAAAAAATGAGCTGTGCAAAATTTGGGACCGATCCGTTAAGGTTAACCCGTGCCCCCGGGCCTATTAAGTTGAGTCGAAGAGTCAAATTTAATAGAAATAACTGATCTATGTCTCATAACTTTTTTTTCTCTTAACTTAGAATAATAAAAGTAAAACTCAAGTAAAAAACTTACTACCAGTTATTTCGTGGGAATAATTACTAATAAGAAAAAATTAGTTCGTAATACTTTAAAAGACTAAAAGTATTGTACATTTGTGATTAAAACGTATCATTTAATATATAATAATAAACAGGTAAAATATATTTAACGTGTTCACAAATTGTCTGCTGCATTTATACGACACAAATTATGTCAGTTGTCGAAAATAACTCAAATATACTTATCTTTAATAATAATATAATTGGTACTATCTTAAAGTAATTCAGTAAACCAAAATTGATATATTGATACGACAAAATGTAATAATACAATCAATTTTGTTAAATTTGTAATTAGTTGGTATAACTTACTGGTAGTAAGTTATCATCAAATTTACAACTATTTAATCTGAACAGTGATTTTTTGAAAATTGATCCATCATTTTGGAGTGCGATCAATAGTTACATAAATGCTTTAAATACTATAAGTAAATTACGAGTTATTAATGATACAGCCTAGCGTGACATTAAATTAATCTAAGACTACATTAAATATAAACTACAAATGAAGAGCAGAAACAATTCGTTTTACAAATAGTTAGTAATTATCGGAAAAAATTTCCTAATTGTAAAAAAAGTACATTATCAAAAAATATATTATAATAATTTAATTTAATTATTGTTCAAATATTTTTTAAAGTTATTATTATTTAAAAAAAAATAAATTAAAAATTGTTAATAAAAATTAAATTAAACTGTAAGGTTTGTAATTAATCATTAATTAACTGTCCATAAAATAATAAATCTAATATAATTATCGTACTTGGCATAAAAAATTAAACTTCTAGAATCTTTTTTTAAACGAATATGCGTTTTCCAAAAAATAAAATGAAAATAAATAATTAAAAATCAACAAAATCAGTTATAACGTATTTTAAGACTTTTACATGTTTTTTACTGGATGTAGTGTTTTTGTGGGCTATTTATTGAGAAAACAACATTGAAGTTATTATTTTTGAATTTCTTGTAAAATTCCCTTTACTTGAGTTTTACTTTTATTATTCTAAGTTAAGAGAAAAAAAGTTATGAGACATAAATCAGTTATTTCTATTAAATTTGACTCTACGACTCAACTTAATAGGCCCGGGGGCACGGGTTATCCTTAACAGATTGGTCCCAAATTTTGCACAACTCCTTTTTTTGACCATTAAAAAAAAATTAAGGGGTAGCGTAAAAATAAAAAAAGACATTCGATTTTTGAGGACCATCCTAATATATATATTATATTATATTAACTATATTATATATCTTATACATTATTACTATCTATAGATATTGAGTTCAGTAATATTTTTTTTGTAAAAAAATATGTATTAATATAGCTTCTAAGCATATGTATATGAAGATGATTATTTTCCTTTTTGTTAAAGGTACTTGGAACATCTTTAATAAAAAAAATTAGGGGATAACTTTGATAAAAAAAACATATATTTTTACTTTTAGACGAAACCGGTGGCATTTGCTGTTCGAACAAATGTGGCGTTCGACGGTAAAAAAGATGATGACTCGCCAATACAAGGTTGTGCAATCACATTCGACACTAAAGATTTTTTGCATATTAAGGTGAGTATAACTAAAAAAAGACTAATTTAGAAAATGTTATCAAAACTAATATTAAAAATGTGATTATTATGTTTAGGAAAAATATGACAATAACTGGTGGATAGGACGTTTAGTAAAAGAGGGTTCAGATGTAGGTTTTATACCGTCCCCCGCTAAACTGGAACTTCTGCGTCAGATGAATCCATCAAGAAGCTCAAAGAATCACTCTTCCAAAAATTCGTCTTCATCAAATTTAGGTGGTGTAATAAATGATATGCTGACCAATAAGGGGGGTGATTCAGGGGGTTCTACCCCTCCCACTCCCGGTATGTACCTGGTTTAAAAAAGTAACATACGTTTTATAATATTATTTCGATTTTCCTTATGTCTGCTGTGTCTGCGTGTGTTTTGTTTGTATAGCGCATGGAGATTTTTTTTTGTTACTTATATTATTTTTAATATTTTGTAGCATGGTTAACAATCTTTATCTTAGATTGTATAGTATATTTTCAAAAAATTGTTACTTCTCATAAAATTGATATGAAACAGTTAATTTTACGATTTCTAACTTGACAATATATTTATACAATTTTAAGTTTTTACTTTTAAATTAGAATTTTTTTAAAATTTTTATGTGTGTAATTTTTACCGTGGACGTAGTTTATATATATCTTCTGTGAGGACTATTTTCATACCGTCTTAATAAAAACTAATACTTTGCAACTCAAAAATTATGTTTCCCGCTTTCTTTTTGTAAAGACAATATGTAATTTAATGAATTTAGTTTAACAACTTGCAGGAAGCTTCTCTACTACACTGAGATACGGTACTGAGTTTACATAGCCAAACATCACGTTATCAACCCATTTGGAAGTGTATCGTAATCTTAATCATAAATGCGTGGTGGCACGATGATTTTCGGTACACTATCGATGACCGGCCGTCAATCCACGATGGCCGAGTCAACTATTTTATCCCCACTCCAAAAAAATTAATTCAGTTCAATTGCGGGGGCTATGAATGTTTTGATAGGGACTAAAGTCGCCACAACCACCATGCAAACTACGCTAATGAACTTTATTAAATATCGATAGTTTTATCTCCAATTACAGTTATTATTAACTATTCTTAGCCTCCAAAACTATCAGACAATAATAGAAAAGATGACAGAATACATCCTTAATTTCATCCATAACACGCATTAAAATGTAATGATAAGATAGAAACAATATGATGGTACAACACAATGATTAACTAATTATATAAGAGCTTACATTTTTTTTATGTCCTTATATGAGATTAATCCGGCTACTACTATTCAGGTTTTACTCAAAGATACATTAAAAGATCAGCAAACCGTAATTTTGACAAATTCCCCTCAAAATTGATAAGAAAGAGAAAATTTTTAAAAAAGTTTTCATAAAACAGTCAATGTTGATATTTTTAGTTTTAACTTATATTGAAATAATTTTTTTTAACTGAATCCTTTATTATCAAATTGTTATTGATAATATTTTAAACAATTGCCTTGCTGTCTTAATTTAAAAGAATTTTATAAACAGTGTAGATATTCCTGAGGATAACGAATAATTAGTTGTTCTTAAAGTGCATTGCAACATTAATACAATTAGAGATGAAATGAGAATTTTCAATTTTTTTTCACTAAATATTACTAAATTAATTAATTTGCAGTACCTATGAAATAGAAATATTAATAATTTATTTCTATCTTTATTAATAATATTAGTATTATTCTATTTAAGTTTAATATGTTTTATAATTTTGCATGTATTTGTAAATCATTGTATTTTTTTACATATAAAACACACGCAGATCACTTAATAAAACTAGTTGTACTAAAAAAATAACCAGTTATTCTTATTACTTTTTTAAGTTCGTATATGTTACATATATCTATTATTTATCCTTCATAGCTTCAATTTGTTTTCAGTAATTGATGACATTTGTTCAAAATGACTTATATATATGTTTTTTAGCTTCGATGCAAAGTTTTTATTAATAAATATAAAATTTCAATTATTTTAAATATAGAGTAATCTTGTGTAGTATAACATAATTAATTTTATTTTTTTAATTTAACGAAGAAAAAAATTATTTTTAAAAAGTACTGGTGTAAAAATCAAGCTCATATACATGTAACATTAAATGTAATAATATATTAATTTCTTAAGGATCTCAAATACATTTTTGAATATTTATTTTGATTTTGCTGTATTTTGGTAATTTTAACTTAATGAATCTTAATTTTTTTTTTATAGATATTGATTTTTTAATGTAATATAATTCTAATTTAATTCCTAATATCTCGAACGTATATTTTTCCTGTTATTACTGATCATGAATGATAAAATATGACAATGCTAGTATGTTAAAATTTTTAAAGTTATATTTACATAATTTTTATTCTTAGCTCGATTTTGCATTTTGTAAAAATTAGCTAGAAAATTTATTTACATTAAAATTAATTTATAATATTTATACAAAACCTTGGTTTGAATTAGAACTAAGAATATTTTTGGTTAATTCGAATTATGTATTGAATCTATTAATCCTGATTAAAATCCGAATACAGTTTATTAATTAAATTTGTCAAAACTATTTGCATAATATGAATTTATCAATATGAAATTTAGGATTAATTAATTACAGATGTTTTTATTTATTAGTAATTGATATTTATTTTGTATAACAATATTATTGTATATGAATTAACAGATTCAATCCATGATTCAGTTTATGGATTAGAAATACGGATATGGATCAATCTGAATCTCTTTCTCGACTCTAGTTTATATAAACAAGGGCTGTAAAGAATATATTTCACTATACAGAGTGATTTTTTTATCATAACCCACTCAATTACTTGCAGAATAAATATAATTTAAACATTTTTTTTTTGTTTGTTTTTTTTTAGTTGCACCTTATTCTTGAATTATTAACTATGTAATACTTTTTAAGTTCATCCCTTATGCCTTGTAAGGGCGTCAACTATGTTTTTTCAAATTGAAACACATATTTTGAATTTAATAAAATCTTTGAGTTTTTAATTTAATAGTAAATGACATTTGAATTTTTAGTATAACTATATTCGTTTATAAGATATAAACATTTAAAGTTTCAAATTTTTGAGTTAATATACATGTATAATACACAAGGGATTACAAATATAGGTAGCTAAATGGTTTTTATGACATCGCTGTCACAGTCACGGATTGTTTATTATCAATTATGATAATAATTCAAGAATAATGTGTAACTAAAGACGACCAAAAATAAAAATGTTTAAATTATTATTACTCTTTAAGTAAATAAGTGGGTTATGATAAAAAATTTACTCTGTATACTTGGAAAATTATTTTAGTTTTATTTATGATAATTTTTCTTTTCAAGCTTTTATTTTGTTTCAAGAGAATATTTCTTAGCCATTTTTAATTTATTTAAGTTAATTTTTTTTTATCGTCACTTAATAATTTAATAAAAGATATTTAAAATCACTATCGACCAAAAAAAAGCCAATCATAAATTTTGCACCCAAAATGTTTTTTTTTTTTATGCCCATGTTTGTTATACTAATAATAAACAAATACTTATTGTTTTGTAATACTTTCTTATTGATAAACTAGCAGAGGATGATGATATTGGAAGTGGCCGTATATCTGCTAGGACCAATTTAACTACACCAACAGCAAAAGATAAAAGGAAAATTTTCTTTAAGAAACAAGAAACCACACCACCATATGATGTTGTTCCATCAATGAGACCTGTTGTATTAGTTGGGCCATCTTTAAAAGGATATGAGGTTACTGACATGATGCAAAAAGCCTTGTTTGATTTTTTAAAGCATCGCTTCGAGGGAAGGTATAATTTATAAAAAATCATCATAATTTATTTTATAATTGGATTTTAAATTTTTAGAATTATCATAACTCGCGTTATGGCCGATATTTCTTTAGCAAAAAGATCTCTTTTAAACAATCCATCAAAAAGGCCTATAATTGAAAGCAAACCAGGTTCAAATTCTCGGTCCAATGTAATGGCCGACGTACAGCAAGAAATTGAAAGAATATTTGAACTTGCTAGAACACTACAGGTTTACATTATATAATTAACAAATAATGTTATTTCTATAACATTTTGAAAAATGTACAGATCAATACAATTTTTTTATGTTTTATTTTTTTTTTTAATCGATCCAATTTCCTTTAAACAGGGAAGTTCAAAACTTAAATATGCGTATAAACCGCAGTACTTTTTCAACTTAATTTTTGAGAATGTTCGGGAAATACTGATACTTTTATATACACCTTAAATTAAATCTTATAAAATATACTTAACCACGAACAAATAAAAAATTTGACCTCTGGACTTGTCTTCGTGGTGAAAATGCCTGCCAAATGCTATTTTTGTGTGAAAATTTTCGATTTTATAATTTACATTTTAGCTTCGATGCGAAGCTAAGAAGGTATTATTTTTACTAAGATGTGTTTTTTTTTTTTTTTTTTGTGTCTGTTACCACTTTTTCTCAGCTCTCACCGAACCGATTTCTTTCAATGATACGTCAAAAGATCACAAATCGTTTCTAGTTGAAGACATTACCCTTAAAAATTGAAAAAAATTCCCTCGTTCCCCGTAAAAGGGGGAAACCTCCAAAAAAATTACAAATTTAAAAATCGCTAATTTTCGAAATTTTTTCAATTTTTTTTACTTAAAAGTGCCATAACTTTTTCAAAAATGAACATATCAATATAATTCTTTTTTTTATAGATGCATGATGTATTTACCTATCATTTGGTTTATTTTTTTTATAAATCTGACTTTTTACCTGCCTACAGGGGGGGATTCAAAATGACAACTTTTTCACAAAAAATTGACTTTTTCAACTTAAATTTTGAAAGTGTTCCGGAAAGTCTGACACTTTTATATATATCTTAAATTAAAGCTAATGTAATATACTTTATCATGGAATAAAAAAATTTCGGACTTTATTTTATCTTCAAGGTGAAAATGGCTACCAAATGCTATTATTGTGTGAAAATTCTCAATTTTATTTTTTACATTTTTAACATTATAATGCTATAACTTATTGAAAAGTGTATTGATCAATATAATTTTTTTATGGGAAATACTATTTTCTAATAATCTCTTTTTTATTCGACATACTTTGTCTTAATCAGGATATTAATAAGGAACTAGCAGTTTATGAAGCTTTTGGAATAATCCACCAATTTCTTAGAATTAAACACTATCTAAAGATTTGCATCGAAGCGTTTTTTTTTTATAGTGATTTTAATCACTGTCAGATATCATTATACTTGATCCAACTATGCCACGTCACCACTGTGCCGCGACCCCCCTGTGCTGGGTTTTTTACTTTAAAGTGCTATAGCTTTTTGAAAAATGTATGGATCAATACAAATTTTTCATGAGAAGTATTATTTATATACATCTTTCATTCGACATACTGTTTTTTTAAATCGGACCATTTCCCTATATACGAGGGGGGTTCAAATCTAAAAAATTAATGTATAAAGTAGAACTTTTTCAACCTAACTTTTGAAAGTGTTCCGGAAAGTCTGACACTTTTATATATATCTTAAATTAAAGCTAATGTAATATACTTAATTATAATTAAAAAAAATTTTGGACTTTATTTTATCTTCATGGTGAAAACAGACATCAAAGTTAATAAAAAAAATACGATTTTTATAAAAAAATTATTTTTTATATTTTTAACTTTATAATGCTATAACTTCTCGAAAGATGTATGGATCAATATAATTCTTTTTTTTGTAGATGCATGATGTCTTTACCTATCNCAATTTTTTTATGAGAAATAATATTTTTTAATAATCCCTTTTTCATTCGACATACTTTATCTTAATCAGGATATTAATATGGAAAGAGCAGATTATGTAGCTTTTGGATTAATCCACCAATTTTTTAAAATTAAACACTATCTAAAGATTTGCATCGAAGCGTTTTTTTTTTATAGTGATTTTAATCACTGTCAGATATCATTATACTTGATCCAACTATGCCACGTCACCATTGTGTTGCGACCCCCCTGTGCTGGGTTTTTTTATTACGTATACTGTTAGCGCGAGTCACACTATAATATTGTATTTTATCTTTGTTTAGCTGGTCAGCAATGTATCTTTTATTATAAATCTAGTCAGTGTACGTTCCACCGCTGAACCATCAGCGACGCGCTCTAATTTTAAGCTAAGTCATACTTGTATTTAAATATTGTCATTTAAGTTAATTATAAATAAAATTACGGAGCAAATATTTTGTAAATTATATTTATAGTTTGTTAAGTTTCATATTTATTAATCAAACAAATTAAAAATTATCATACAAATAAATTTAAGTGAGCGTTAGATTTATTAACGATTAATAATCTCGCTTCACCAACTTATACTATGAAGCATATCGTTTGAAAAAAATCATTATAAGACCCAATTAAATTTAATGGGCAACAGTAAATAAAAATGAAAAATCCAATACAAATTTTATTAGGCTTCATTATGAGCAAAAATATATTTGTTTAAGTATTATATCAACAATAAAAATGTTTGATCATTATGTGAAGTTTATACGTAATTTAACACAATGTCACGTAATAAAAATATTATTTTATAATCTTTTAATTTTAAACCAATGGAATTAAAAATATTAGTTAAAAAAATGAATAGTTCTAATTTGTCTTTATTTATAGCTTGTTGTATTGGACTGTGATACAATTAATCATCCATCACAATTAGCTAAAACGTCATTGGCACCTACAATAGTATATTTAAAAGTATCATCTCCTAAAGTTAGTACTTAATTTGTTATGATCAAAATTCTTTAAAATTTGCTTTTTTTTAAATGCATGATAATTTTTTAGGTCTTACAACGACTGATTAAGTCTAGAGGTAAATCACAAACTAGACATCTTAACGTGCAAATGGTAGCATCAGAAAAGTTGGCTCAATGTCCACCGGAAATGTTTGATGTAATACTCGATGAAAACCAATTAGAAGAAGCATGTGAACACATTTCTGAATATTTAGAAGCATACTGGAGGGCTACCCATCCACCAGTTACACATGATCCCAATGAACCGCCGTTGTTGACCCGGCCTATAAGAAGTTCACCTAGTATGGATATGCCCATCATAATGAACAATTATGGATCTTCGGGTTAGTACATCTGTTGTAGTTTTTACCATTTTCAACATTAAAACTGATAAGTGTGTTCTATTTGAATGAATTTATCTAGTATTATATTATGCCTTAAGTTAAGTGTATAAATTAATATTTCATTTGTCAGCTAGGATTTTAATGGTCTCAATTGCCAGAATTTTTTAATCCGACATTTTGTTAATTTTTTTCCTGGATGTGGATTTAAGATAGTCATAAATTACCATAGTTAGAAAGTACATTTTATAGATTCATTTTCTCTTAATTGTCTATCTAGCAGAATATCAATCATTGGATCGCATTCCTCCACGTCTCGAACGAATGCGTACCCAATACGATGACTACGAACTTAGTGATCATGATAGCATGGTTTATGTACCACCCGTTACTGCATACCATACTCACCAGAAACATCATCACCCTCATCATCAGCAACGCCACCAACAACCATCTCAAATTCGACACCAACAAAGCGTTTCTTTTGAAAGAAGTAATTTGCATAAGGATGAAAGTGGTGGATATAATAGTGGAGGTAATCGTTCTGAGAGTTCGCATAATATGCATCATCAATTATCATATCAGTTGGGATCGCAGACAGATATGTTAACTCATAGTCCGCCTGAAAATTCATCTGACCATCTTATGTCCTACATGTCTCCATCTGTAAGACCATCACATAACAGAAGACCAAACGTCAACATGTAATACGTGAATATTTTGTGCGTATATTTAAATGCACTAATATTTTTATACGCAGTATAAATTAATTAATACTAATTATTAATTTCATTTAATTGAAATTGCCTTTTATGGACCAACATTTTGTTGTGTGCTAAATATTGATTTATCAATATTAATGAAGTATGTTTATACATTTTTATAAATGTTTTTGAAAACGAAATATTTGATTAAATCATTAAAATAATAAAAGAATGTAAGTGTGATACTTATTATTTTTCCAATATAATAATAATTAAAAATTAATACTACAATTAATTTTTTTCGAATAATAATTATTTATATTTCTATTAATTATGAATGTTCACACAAGGGTAAACATTTTAATAGAAAAAATCAAAATACTTAATTGTATAATATTAGTAAGATTTTATTTTTTTTTATGATTATGTTTAACGAATTCAACCATATTTTACATATGATTTTAGTTACTTATACTGCTATTTCAATGACAATGTATTAGTGTGGTAATAGTGAAATTATCGTCCTCATTTCTATTTAGCGCTTAATTATTATACTCAATCAATGATAATTTGTTTCAAATTCAAGTTGTACATTCATATTTTTTAAAAAACAATCAATATTTGTTTATTTCAGTTAATATAAATTCAAAGTTATATTAAAATAATATAGATATTTAGTAATGTAATTATTTCATTTCTGAACGCAGGAGAAAATTAGCTTGTGTTAACTTTTCAATAAATTAGTTAACATAAAATAAAACTCAATATATCTCTTCGATGTTAATTTCCATTAAAACTTTACGAGACTTTTTATACAGTAAAATAAAAATTTCCTGTATAAAAATATGTCAAAAATTAATTGGATTTTTTTTTTAAATTTCAGGGTATAAGCAATCTAGTACGAACAGGCTTTAATTGATTTTTATAATTAAATAACTTTTTCTTAGATAGGTGTATTGATTATTTTATGACTTATTATTTATTTGTATAATTCTAACTACAATAATATAATATAATATAATCCTTTAAAATGTTCTATGATATCAAAATGAATCCTTTTTGTACTAGGTCTGCGATTTTTAAGTCGAACTTATTATCATTCCTTTAAGTTTGGTAAACTTAAATATCAAATACGAGTAAAAAGACTAGACAATATTAAATATTATTTGTTCCTCGTATGGGTGCAATGTTCTTACAAAAGAATAATTTTGAGATTAAGATATAAAAATGACTTCTGATAAGACTAAAATAATTTTTTTTTTATTGATAGTTTATCTATTTATTAATATTTGAGTGAAAAAATGTTACATAAATGTAATACTTCACATATTATAATAGTGACCAGTTTCTGTATTAATAACAGGGTTTTCTAGTATTCTCCCACGTTCTCTTTATTTCAAAAGATTAAGAAAACATTATAATTAATGATTATACTTGTGGTATTTATGGTAGTTTTAACTGATTTTTTTAAAAATGTTCATTCTATCTTTAACTTTTAAACTTTTTTAATATCTACTTTTTCAGTATTTATATTAAATACATAAATCGGAAACCCTAATCTATGTATTCAGTTATTTATAACAAAAATATACTATGTTGATGTTTAACTATAACAGTGATTCTTTTAACGCTAGCCATTCGTTTTATCTTAAAATAATTATTATGTTAAGAAAATTATTTTTCGTATTTTTTAGTTTTATTTATTTCTTATTTACCAGTTATAATTTACTTTTTTAATTCATCGCTAAGAAGAGGGTCAACTTAAATTTTTTAAATAGTAACTAACCGTTTAAAATGGGAAGTTTTTCGACTTGTCGAGAAAATGATGGGACGATAAAAACTTTTGTTCTATTATTAGTAAGTTATTATCATTTTATAATTGACTAGTGATGAGACGAGGGAATGTCAATAATAATCATTAAACATTTCTCAGTCGCACCTGTCCTCCATCTTCTTCTTCTTTCTCGCCTTAATTCCAACTATTTGGGGTTGGCCATCCTTATCCTAAACTTCCACTTGACACGATCTCCCACATCCTCTACGCTTACATCAGCTGTCCTCATATCGCATTCAATAACATCTCTCCATCTCTTTTTTGGTCTTCCTCTACCTCTTCTTCCTTCAACATTCTTCTCATAACATGACCAAACCATCTAAGTCTATTTTCTCTCATCTTATCTACAATTGACGTTACACCTATACTCCCTCTTATATGCTCGTTCCTTATTCTATCTTTTTTAGTCATTCCACTCATCTATCTAAGCATTCTCATCTCTGCTACACTCATTCTTTGCTCTACTTTCTTATCAACCGCCCAACACTCTGAACCATACATCATAGCTGGTCTTACGCATCTGTCCTCCATCATGGAATAAAAATATTTATAACTTTCGAACTATTGGTCTAAAAGTTGTTATCGACTAGTAAATAAACTCTTAAATAAATAATTTTCCATTTTATAAATATATATGTTGCCATTTAAAAAAATTAATTTGACACCCTTATAATGAATATGGGATGAATTAAAAATATAATTAATCATCGATATATCAAGAAATATATAAAAATTAAAATACCAAAAATAATTTTCTTAATATAATTATTATTATATGAGAAGAAATCAAGTGGCTAGCGTTAAATAAACATCGTGTATAATAGTGTAATCATTAAGTTTTTAATATTTAACAATATTGTTTTTTTTTTACTATTCATTATTAACATAATTTATTTTCATTTTAATGCATATTAATATAGCTATAGGGATACCTAAGTATGTTGTGTTCAACCCTCAGATCTATTTTGTAATTTTTTTTGCATGAATTGATTAATATTGGTTTACTATTTTGTGGATTTAACATATTTACAACGAATTAGCTTGAACCGATTATGATAGAAAAAATGATTAAGATAATATTAATGTGCTTGATTTATATAAGCTATATGTTAATTTGTTATTTAAGAAATAAGGTTTCATGACTTTCTTTGTGATTTAATAATTAATAATATAGTAATAGTAAGCACTATGACATAAAAAAAAACTTTTTTTTATTAATTTTAATTATGTACTTTTTAATTTAAATTCTACTTCAGATATCTAACTTGTCTAGTGACGGTGAAAACTTTTTTTCTGAACCAAACATTAAATATACAATGAGTTATTATGTTTGTCGCTCAAATTTATGAGAAGTTTGTTTTGATTACTAATAAAAAATAATGTTTTGTCGAAATTTGATGTAATATTGTTGTGAAATTATTACAAATGTTTCCTATATAAATAGCACTCACTGAACTTTGTTGCAAAGCTTATAGAATTATCATTAGTATTAGGATAGACATAAAAACAATGATAATAATCACTTTTTATTTAAGTGAATAGTTAAATTTTTCCTTTTGTTTAACTGTATGATGTCATTAATTGTAGTAAAATATTAGTATTGTCATTGTTTGAAAATGATATGTCAAACAAAAAGTGATTTTTATATTGAAAATTACAAACTTTTGCGTCGCTGTTATTATTATTTTTTATTATGTATTGTTCACATATTATACTACTTTGTAAAAAAGGGTAAAATCATCGATTAAATAGTAAATTTTAATCGATGAAAACTTATTAGGTAAGTGCGTATGAAATGAAAACTGGTCACATTCCACAAGTTTAAACATTTATGTAAATACGCTGTTTATTATAATAAAACTTAAGTACAATTATATTTTACACATGATTCTATATATTAAATATAAAATTATTGAATCGGTTTGAGAATTTTTTGTATATTATTATTATAATTTTTGTTTAATACCGAAATTCCTGATTTTTATAATGTTTCATTTCACACATTCACATTTTTATGTGAATAGAAATTAGTTTTTAATAGTTTTAAAAGTTCATAAGATATTTTATTTGCAGTTTATTTATTATTGCTTGTAATTAAAATATGTTATTTATTAAATGAATCATAATTAAGTATTGGACTAAATAATTAAAATCTAAATTTTGACTTCAATTATGATATTTGTTTATATTATGTTATTTGTAAAATCAACATACCATGTACTATATTATAAATAATTATGCAATTATATTGTCTGATTAAAATTAATAAAAGAAAAATTATGTAATATTTCCCTTCTAACTAGATTTAAAAAAAAAACCCAGCATGTGTACCGTGACCCCCCTCTGGGGACGTGGTATAGTTGAGTCCAGTATAGATTTAATCTGACAGTGATTAACATCACTATCATATGTAATGCTTCGATGCAAATCTGTAGATAGTGTTTAATTCTAAGAAATTGGTGGATAATTACAAAAGCAACATCAACTTCTATTTCATTAATTATATCCACATTAGTAATTCTTAGATTCAAAAATATAATTTTTTAATTATATATTATATAATTTTTATGATTATTTGTTTTCAAATTATTATTAATTTTTAATATGTTAAAAACAATCATTTTTAACCTTATTTTAGNTTTTTTTTTTTTTTTGTGTCTGTCACTACTTTTTCTCAGCTCTCACTGGACCGATTTCTTTTAACAATACGTCAAAAGATCACAAATTGTATCTAGTTGAAGACATTACCCTCAAAAATTGAAAAATTTTCCCTCGTTCCCCGCAAATGGGTGAAATTTCCAAAAAAATTACAAATTTAAAAATCGACAAATTTTGTCATTTTTTTTACTTTTTTTTCTTAAAACATCCATAACTTTTTCAAAAATCAACAAATTAACATAATTTTTTTTAAAACTAAAACCATAGATATTTTCCTTTTATTTGATATAATTTTTTTGAAAATTTAACACTTAACCTGCTCACAGGGGGGATGTAAAATAGCAACTTTTTTACAAAAACTAACTTTTTCAACTTAATTTTTGAAAATGTTCCGGAAATACTGCGTCCTTTAAACATATATCAAATTAAAGCTTATTTTATGTACTATAAAATGAAAAAAAAAAATTTGTCCCGACACTTTATCTTCTGCATGTAAACGGTTGCCGTAGTTAAAAAAACACTATTTTTGTGTTAAAATTTTCGATTTTCAATTTTTAATTTTCAACTTAAAAATGCTATAACTTTTCGAAAAATGCATGTATCAGCACAATTTTTTTTTTTCTAAATACATTATAAGTACATCTTCCATTTGACATACTTTTTATTAAAATTAGACAATTTCCCCTTATATAGGGGGGGTTCAAACTTTGAAACATTGTATAAAAAATAGAACTTTTTCAACTGAACTTTTGAAAATGTTCCGGAAATACTGCGTCCTTTAAACATATATCAAATTAAAGCTTATTTTATGTACTATAAAATGAAAAAAAAAAATTTGTCCCGACACCTTATCTTCTATGTGCAAATGGCTGTCGAAATTATAAAAAAAATGTAATGTTTACGATAAAAATCACCTTCTATCGGAATGTTTTTTGTACTTAAAACTGCCATAACTTTTTCAAATATTAACTAATCAAAATAATATTTCTTTATATTGAAACCTTAGGTAATTTTCTTTCATTTTATATCATTTTTTTTTGAAAATCTAACACTTATTCTGCTCACAGGGGGGATTTAAAATAGCAACTTTTTTACAAAAACTAACTTTTTCAACTTAATTTTTGAAAATGTTCCGGAAATACTGCGTCCTTTAAACATATATCAAATTAAAGCTTATTTTATGTACTACTAAATGAAAAAAAAAATTTGTCCCGACGACCTATCTTCTATGCGCAAAAGGCTACCGTATTCAAAAATATGCTAATTTTTTAATTAAAATTCTGGGTTTTGTATTTTATTTTATTTTAAAATATCTTATTAGGGGAATAAACTGACTTTCATGAATATTATATAATATCATTGACATAGAATAAAGTTCATAAGACATATGAAATTATACTTATTAAAATTTTTTTACTTTTTTAAAGTCGAAAAAGTAATTTTTAAATTTGAGTTAGCTTAAATAGTTAATTTTATCATTCAACAAAGAGGAACGAACNCCTTATCCTAAACTTCCACTTGACGAGATCTCCCACATCCTGACAGCTCACATCAGCTGTCCTCATATCGCATTCAATAACATCGATCCATCTCTTTTATTAATTATATATATATATATATATATTTGTGTTG